TTAAAAATATATATTATAATTTAATAATTAGATTAATAAAATTTAATGATTATAAAAAATATTAAATTTAGTATTTTGTTAATTTTAATATTTGGTGTCATTTCATATATGTATGTAATATTTTGATAAATACATGTCATATTATTACGTGCATGATAGTTAAATAAATCAATATGATTTTTTTATATCATGCGTGGAAAATAATTGTGCTAAAACCTATGTTTTTATCATGTCTTTTTTACATGATGTGGTATAAAAAAATATCATACTTTTTTATTGAGTCACGTAAACGAAATCATGGTCAATGAGGACGACAAGCGTGGAGTGTATGGTGACAATGCATGGGCACATTTTTTTTTTCTTTCTTATGATATTAAATTATTAATCATATAGAAATTATTAATTAATATTAATTTAGTATTTGATAAATTATTGTAGTTTCATTGAAATAAAACATCATAATTTAGTTATTATAAAAATATTAACTATTTGTTTTAATTTCCTTAAACATATAACTGACATAAATTTTACCTTCTAAAATTTGAAAATGTCAAATAGTTTTTTTAAAGATTAAAAATGTTTTTCATTTATCATATTTGATGAGTTTTATTAAAATTTATGTCAATAATAATAATAATAATAATATAGGCAGACTATATATACTTGTATTTTATTAATTAATAATACTTTTTTTTCAAAACACGCATGGAGAATCTTCTTCAGAGTAGTACACTAGTACATAATGTAATTCGATAAGCAAGTCATATGATTCTTCATAGAAGTCTTAAAGTTTTGTGATTTTTAAATTCTTTTCTGGTGTGGTTAGGGATAAAGAAACACTAGCATGTATATGTGCTTTCTGTAAATGAGTTTCGTGGAGACAAGTGTTAGAGATTAAATATAAAATATTTATATGTTTTCACTTAACATCTTTCATTAGAAACATTAATCCATGACGATAAAGCACGAAGTCCTTATGATCAAACAATTTAAAGTTTGATCCTTATCGTTAGTCTAAATAGTCGTGCTTCTAGTCTAAACGGCTCACTCAATAACTAGAGTCTTTTGGATAATTAATTTATAGCATCATAAATTTCAAATCATTAAATACTTTTATTTTTTTTTTTACTAGAAAATACTAATAAATATCTATGGAGTATTAGTTAAAAATGTATATTATGTTGAAAAGATAGTTAATATTTATTTTTAACTAATTCATTTAATTAGAATCATTTAACAAAAATATATTAAATATTTTTAATTTAAAATCTTTAAAACACCCGTCAAAGAAAATCTAAAAAATAATAATTTGTATAAATGTACTTATCTAGTAGTGATTACAATTTATAATAACAAAAGTGAAAGAGGTTAGTCATCATATAACAAAAGCAATGGTAATTAGTTGTTATTTAATGATTGAAAAGGGTAATATAGAAAAAGAAAATGTGAATCAAAAGAAGTATATTTAACTCAATAATTGACGTGGGCCAATGGACAAACAAAGAAAAGGGTGAGGTGGATGACGATGAATGAGGTTATTCATTCCCTCTTGTTGCGATATATACTAATACAAATTTAGCACTTCAATACGTGTAAAGAAATGAAACGATGAAAGGGAAAGAAGCACAAAGTGGTAAGCAAGTTAGGATAATTGGATCAAAAGGGGAGAGAAAGAGACACGTTAATTTGTCGTACATATCAATAAGTTTCCCATGGTTTTGTTGCCACATTTTTTTCCCATTGCCACCGGTTTCATTTGGAAACGTATTCTTGGTACACCTGATTCAATGTTCCAATTAATATTCGTGTCTTGGTCCCTTTGACAACGTTGCCTCTCTCATCCTTAACTTATTAATCCATGTCTATATCCTTCCGTCACGTCAAATTTTCGGATAGCATTTTGTTTATTGGGACTGTGTATATACGGTTTTAAATGTTCATCAATCATGGTAGACATGCTAATCATAGTTGTCCCTCTCTGTGTATTTATATACACTTGTGTGGGTGATAAAATCTTAAAAATACAGTGAAATATACAAAGAAAATTAACAGAGAAAAAAGACTAGGCCAGGTACTGAGCCTTGGCTAGCTTTGCCAGCACACCACATGCAGTGAGAGGCGCCAAATTTTGCGGCCTCAGTGCAATAAACACAGAGTGAATTAACATATGGCTAGATTCCAAGTTTTATTTCTTAGATTGATCAATTTGGTGGTTGTTTTCTCACATTAACACACGTAATTCCTTAGAACAGAAAGCAACAACTACTAGCTAGACAACGTACCAAAGGAGACCCACTGTCACAAATTGGCTGTCTTTATATGTATTCATAATGGCTGCTACCAATTATTAGGATTGCTGTAATGGCACTTTCTCTAGCTTCTTATGTTTATAGGAAGAATAAGACTCACTAAAATTAGCTTGTTTATGATGAACACAAGATTGATTAAATTTAATATTGATTTGATTTAAACTACGTTGCCATCTAAATTAACTAAAATTTACCCTTTCTTTTTCTTTGTTTGGATAAGGAATTTATAAACCCTTTCTTATGCGCTTCACATAACTCATTTTAAAGTAACTTAATGCTCTATATATAATTTTTAATTCTTTAATGATCGAACAATAATTAAAATTTCTTACTAAAGTTAAGCATTTACGATAAAAGTATCATTGAGGTGTTTTTTTAAGACACTAATAAAAAATATTTGGCCTCGTTATCTACATGTATTCAGTGTGTTTTTCCTTAATATTTTTACAATCACATATTATTAAATGAAGTCAAACTAAGATAATAACTAAATTCATGGCCAATAGTGGAGATATATAGAATTTCTTAATACCCAACAATAATATTCTTGTGGTTCATCATTTTTGACGGCAAAATATCTGTAAGAGAATGATAACTTAAACCCCCCAGCCCACCCTGCGTACATATGAGCAATGATTAAACATTAACTATTTGCATCGAAATTATTTTGTTAGCAAATGTAGAACTCCCTTCAACATTTTTTAAGTTAAATTTTTCTTCAACTATTTGTAAGTTAATATCATTTAATTATTAAAATATTATTGTATTATTAAATAACATTGATTAGGAAATCTAACAAGTAATATTGTGCTCCTCCATTAGGAACTTTATGCATAATTCCCAAACAAAAGCAAAGAAGGATTAGTTTTTGCGTTCTAACTGAATTCATTCCATCGGTTAACATAGAGCATTTCATGATTTTGTATACATCTTTGATGAGTTCTTATTTAGGTTTATTATTAGAAAAATTATCGTTTGATATCAAAGATTAGATTGACACATTTATGTTTGTTATTTGTGTTTACGTTTGAAATAAATTATAGATTCGTATCATATAAATCCTAGCTTCGTTGACCTTGATTTTGACTAAAATTGGAGAAAATAATTTAGGGCTTTTCATCGTAGAATGTGTGCCTTAAATTAATCTTAATTCTTTTTTTTTATTCATAGAACATGCTAGAATGTCCATCTACATGATTAGATTAATTTAGGTATATTATAGAATTTTTTTGACTAATGAGTTGTATAAAATCTATCTTAAGGTTGAAGCATCGGATATGTTATAAGATCAAGTATTTCTACCGTATACCAATGTTATTTTTTACTGTTGGTAAGTGGTAATGCCATAAATCCTATTTTAATACATAGTTATCCTTCTAGAGAGATTTATTTTAAAAATGAATTTAAATTCATTAAGAATCTTATTAATATATCTCTGATTACCACCAGAAGTATAAGCCCATAGATTTTAAGACAAAGGAGCCATACTAAGGAGAAGTATTTTAATACTTCCATTTTTTTTCACGTGGGTTTATGTCAGGTATATTTAATGTTGATATAATAACAATGTAAGTGTTAATGTGTTTTATCTCTTAAAATTGTTAGACAAAATTCTATTGAGACTTTAAATATTACAATAACTCATTTAATATATTTTTTAATTATTAGAAGATAGTGCTCTAAGATTCATTAGTCTTGTTTTAATAATATATATATACATAAAGTGGTTAATTATTTCCCATTTATATATATTTTTCTTCATTATTATCTTTGTTTGTTATTTTAAAAAGTATTATAAGATTCCATCACATTTGATCTTGAACGTACAAATTTAAATATGTTGCTATACACACAGTTGTTTATTCTATCTATTTTTAACATTTAATCCTTATTCTCGTTTTTTATCATCAAGCATTTTATTTAAGCAGCTACCTACCTAGTAACAGTAGGCGTTTTTCCCTTCCCTAGTTGAGGAATCATGGTTGTATGAAATTATATTTTTATGAACTTATATTTTTTTTTTATTGTTTTTCATGTAAGAGATTGAGTAATATTTCTTGCTTACAAGATTTGATATTAATCATTGTTTAAGAAACTTGATTTTTTAAAATTTACTTTTAGGATCAATCTTGTTAATAAATAATTAAAAAACCTTATTCGTAAACCCATCTGACTTTACTCAAACTAATTAAAGGCTAACGTGATTTTCAGATACTAAAATCCAAGATGAAAAACAATTATTACCCGCAGTTGATATTGAAGTTTTTATTCCACAAGATATATATATATACCTTGTTCATATATTCAATAATAAAATATTTAATCACAATGACTTGATTAGTAATCATATATGCATTCTTAATGATTTAAGAACTATTTTAAGGTTGTAATTACCATGGTTTATTCAGGACACAGAGACATATACAAAACTATAATTAACCGCCCCATATGGAGACAAACTAAAAAGACATCAATATAATATTTTTAGTCTCTACATAAAAACTTTTTTTTTTTTTCAATTTGATTATTTATTATATACAGCCCTGTCCTTGCAGTCTAATTTACTATAACACTGATATCTCCATAGAGGAATTGAAAATATACTTTTAAGTGAGAAAAAAAGAATAACAACATTGATTCCAGGGTGGAAAAATCAGGCAGAAAGAAGGAATCATGGAATCTTTCTTTTCCAATGTTATCCATTTGGATCATTTAAGCGTTCAACATTAAAAAAAAAAGTATACACACTTGGGTCTTTCAACATTCTAAGTTGGAGGAGGAAATTATAATAGATTGCCTCGGAAAATCATAGGGTAGTGTTGAATCAGAAATATGAAACAACCAAGTTAGTAGGGTACATGATTCACATAACATGAAATATGATTATTCTTTTCCATATTCCTTTCAGGATTTTCAGCACCTTTAAAGCAGAAAAGAAGAAATGAAACATGAAAATGATGGACAAGAATATTCATTTATTCAACAACAGGATCCGGCAGTGGATTGCAGGCACTCTTTGCTCACAAAATACTCATACCTAAAAATACAGGTTCGATAAGCACTGCTTATTTTATTGCACTAGCACAAGTGACAATTCAAAAATACTTCATCCGAGTCATCCCTAAGTTCAGCAGAAAGAACTCCAAAAATTAGACCAAAATTGGGTAGTTCTCAGAATGAACAAAGATTCCCCTAGCAACAATTTACACTCATATTAGATAATTGACTAGACAAACCAGATCCACCACCCAAATCCCTTTTCTTTGGCTTCAATAATGGTGGTACCCAGTTGCCAATAAGATCATCATGCTCCACACCAATGACATCACCTTTTGCTCCCACATAATGCTCATGCTCTTTACGACACACAGAGAGCCATTTGGATTGCATGTATGTGGTGGTTCTCCAAGGGGGTACGTGAAGACCCTTCTCTTTAAGGGACTGTTTGGCAGCAGAACATAGCAGGGAAATTATCTTGCACAGTTTGTTCTCAGTCCCAACAAAGATAACCGGGAGTGAGTCTGTCAATTCCTTGTAATGTTGTGTAGGCCTTGCAAGTTCAAATTGTGACCTAAAGTCTATATCTACTATTAGCCTCACAGGATTAGCATAACTCTCACTTTCTGTTATCACTTCGATAAACTCGTATTCACCTGTTAATATAACAAAAACCAAAAGGTTAAATATAATTTGGGTATCTTCCTAGTACTAATTAACCAGCCAAAGATTAAGCAAATGTTATGAACTTGGACTAGATGCTCTCAAATGAAAAAAAAAAAAACGGAGCCAAAATGGCTAATTGGGTATATGATTGAATATCAGAATGAGTTGACAAAAATTGTAATTGAAGGTTGATAATAGGTAGAGAAAGACCCACCAGCAGGACATCCCAAAGAGGTGGACCAAGATGTGTGGCATATTGAAGCATTAAGACCATCCATTTTCATCCTCATAACAAGCCATCTACTAAGACTTGTTTTCTGAGCACTTTGTCTACCTCTCATATGTTTAAACACACACTTCAATACCTTACCCTCTTCTGCTGTATCACCCTCACTCCTTAGAATGTCCTGAAACCAATTACAACATAGTAAAACACAACACATACATAAAACCTATGCAAGAGACAACCTTAAATAAACCAAAACAAAATTGAACAAATCATTGAATTCATTAAAAAGCACCTGTAAAATAAAATACTGGGTTTGATGGTTTAAAGCATGGCAATTTGAGGAAGTGGAACTTATAGGGGATGTTGATTCAGATTCAATAAAATCTTGTACCATTCGTACCAACTCGTCTTCTTCTAAACTTCCCATTTGTGATTATCCTCTCTGGTCAAAGAGAAGAACAGAGTGTAATTGAATTTCTTGAGAAGTTGGTGTTTATTATATATAGAGGTATGGCGGTGGAAACAGCACCTGTGTGGTGACAGATCATAGATGAGGCCCTGCATTGATAAGGTAAAAATATAATAAATAAAACAAAAGGAGCAAATAATTTTGAAAAAGAAAAAAAAATTGTTAGCGGTTAAAAATAGTGCTAAGGTATAGTGTCGGAATATCCTTATCTTCGTTGGTTTAATAACCATGAAAATGACACAACTGAGTGTTTTCAACATATTCTAGAACTTACTCCCAAGGTTTCCAATAAGTGACACATGAAGGTTAACTCAGCTGCTAATGCATATACAATTATACATTTTTCAATCACAGATCCGTCATCTGAAAGTCATTTTAATATCGATTAATTCGAGTGGAATTGGATAATTTAATCGAGGGAATCAATTAAAATCACTTCAACTTTTTCTTTTTTTGCATTAGTAAGACTTTGAATTTCAAAGTTGAACTTAAAATTTTGTTTCAAGAGAACCTATCATTATTACATGCCATTTAAATCCATTTGATTAATTAAATGAGTTTATTTGACCAAAAATTATTTTTTAACTGGTTACTAAAAATATCTACAAAAATAAAATTACTTATTTAAATTTTTTTGTCATATGTACACTTAAATATCTTTTATGTCAAGAATGATAATATTAAAAATAAATAAATAAAAGTTAAAGTATTAAACATACTAGATGATACTTTCCTGTGCTCACAAGTAGCGCATGTGCAGAGTATTAACTATATAATAGGTCAGACAAATAAAATAAATAAATAAATAACCACATGTTTCACCACTTCACATATAAATTATATATGATAAAAAAATTAAATCAATAAATTAAAATTTGTGTATTTTTAACTCTTTAATGAAAGGAATTATTTTTATTGTAATAAAATAAAAATATTAAAAAATATTAAATTTAAGTAAGAAAGAGTAAATTTTATAATTTTTAATTTTTAATAAATTTTATTTTATAATTTAGGATGGATTAAAAATAATATATTAATAACATATTTTAATGATTTAGGTCATAATGACATCGCTAAAATATAATCATTTTGTCGGCCTTCAACATAGTTCCAAAAATAGTACAAGACAGTTCAATAGTGAATAGGTATCCAAAACTTATCTTTAGACTTTAAAAAAATTCCCTCTATTTTATAATTATTTTTAAATTATATCTAAGATAATTCTTAATTACTTAATAATCCATTAAATTTAAATTTAAAAGATTGCCAGCAGAGTACAAATATGCAATATTCCGATATCTTCCATTAGATCAAATTCATAATCTTTCCTTCAAACTCCTTCAAGCAATGGTAAAAATTAAGCATATAACGATTCATATTTGAAAAATGGCCGAAATGAATCAAGCTTTTCTTACCACTGTGACACTTCTTCTTCTTCTTCAAAACCAAATAGCTATGCTTTTGGGAATAAAAGAAAAGCTATACTAATTACTAGGTTTATAGGCATAATTGATCAAAATTTAGAATAATATTAATACAAATTTAAACACTCATCCAGCTAGTCTTAAATCACCGTCCAATTATCTTTAGATATTTAAAAAAAGATTTTAAAAAATTGCTCTGGTTAAATACTGAGTTTTGTTACAAAAGTTTGGTTACATCATTTTAAACTTAATTTTAAGTAAAATAAATTTTATAGAATTAAATTTATAAATTCTCACCCCTTGACACGAATGCGCTGCCCAATATCTTCTAATCTTCTATCAAGTTCGGCCCAAACATATCGTGGGCCTGTTCTTTGCTTGAATTCTATCAATTCATTGGGCTGCATCTTTTTAAATAATTCGTTGATCGAGGCCACTTTGTCTTGTATTTCCTTGGGCTTCATTTTTTTGTTTTTAAATTATCCGTTGATCCAGCTCACTTTGTCTTGTATTTCACCTGTTGACATATTTCTAGTCTAGTATCACTTGTGTAGGGAAATTCCTCTTTTCAACTGCAACAATGCACTCATCATAAGTAGCTTGGCCTTTTGTTGATCTCTTAGATTAGAAAGTGCTCCATCCACCATCCAAATTGTGAAATGGGAATTTTGGGCACAATGAATGATGGAGAGCGTAGTCTCTGAACGTGAATGATGAGAAATCACAATAATGATAGCTCTTGCAAGAGAAGAGCCCAATATTCACGTGGCAAATCAACGTCTCCATAAATGACACCAACCACCATTAGGATACCTTACATCAAAACCATTTAAATTACTTCATTGTCCATGCACCCTCTGTTTTTCATATTAAATTTTCATCACTTTTTGGGATATCCAAATGATTCACTATTAATAGTCACAATATCACAATTCCTCCAGAATTTGAGCCCAACACTCACTCAACACCAAATATATACTTTTAGCCTTTCACCTTACATTTTGAAAATAAAACACAATATAAGAGTTTAGAATTCATCCCTTAAATACCTATGCCTAACTAATAAACTTTGACTCGTTAATTTAATGAATTATAAAACATATCTTGAATTATTCATTATTTATCTAATGATAAATAGTGATTTAATTCAACTTTCTATTCTTTTTTTTTTTATAGTGAGATGGGTTGATTGTATTTATGTATAGATGAATTAGATAGTTACAAAATAAATTAATTGAATTATGATCGGTACTGCTTATACATTATACTAATAACTATCCTTCTATTTGATCAAGTATTAAATAAAATATATAAAAATAATAAATATTTATTTAATTATTAAAAATTTTATAAGTAAAAAAAAAATAAATCATTTAAGTGTGTTTTTTTTTCTCTATCCTCAATACACGTTCTTGCTGCTCTCCCACAGTTGCTAAATTAAATTTAGCTTTTAATGCCTTGTATTGAAGCCTAATTATTTGTATACAAAATTATCAAAGCATATGAAATTAGTTTTTTTTTTCTTAGGAAAAAATACAAATAGTTATTTCTTATAAAAAATCAATAAAAAATTATTTTTAATACTTACAAAAATCTCAAAATGAATATTAACAATATATATATAACACTCAAATTATATTTTTTATTTTTAGAATCACAATGTTTTCCATTGATAAGTGTGAAGCTACTTCTTTAATCGAAAATTCCACTCACCCATTTTCCATTCAGCAATTTAATATTGATTATTTTTAAATATAAACTTATAACATAAATTCAAAAGTGTGTAGTTATAACTTATTGATTTTAACGAAATAGTTATTTATTTTGTATAGAAAAACATCTAAAATATTTTTAAGTTCTGCCTCTTGTTGCTTTGGTTGCACAATAAATTTCTTATTTTAGCACATATTTTATTTATTTTATCATATTATCAATGGCATTTTATTTTATTTTATTTTATTTTATATATCTTTTTTCTTTTCTCCACCTGCCTAATACCCAAAATGATTGTGTCAAGCTATAATTTTCATTGTTAAAAAAAATTGGAATGTCATAATGAGACAGCTTTCTTAATTGTATTGTTGAATTAATTTGATTAATAAAGCAAGCAATGTTTTCAGGATGATTTGTAAAATATGTTGTTAGAAAATGTTCAAAACACTGTCACACTGCTCGTGTATTTATCAATAAATGCTTCCTTTATTGGGCAACCAGCATTGACTGCATGCTTTGGAGTACTGAGTACAAGACGGAGTACCTTTTCAAATAATAATAATAATAGAAAAACATTAATATTATTTTTCAAATTTGACTTTAAATGTTTTAAAATAATACAATTTAATAAATTTTAATAAAATTAATCAATAATATATATTTTTACTAAAATTATTCTCATTCTTTTTATAAAAACATTTTAAAGATTTTTATTGATATTTAATATAAGAATTTAAGTTTAAGAATATTTTTTTATTTTTATATCTTAAACCTTTTTAATATCTTAATAATTAATTTAATGATAGGATATAACTTAATTAATGATAAACTTAATTTATAATTAATTTTTCATAAATTAATGTATTATTATTTTTTTAAATTTTTTTAATCATGTAATTTAGTTAAAATATTCTTATGAAAAGGACGACAAAGATATACAGTATTATCAAGTCATTAAATTCTAAAATATTTTAATTTTTAATAAAATTTGATTATACACATGTTTTTATTATATGTATTTTAAGATACATTTAAAAAATGTAATTGTTAAAAAATATTTTTATAATAAATATTGTTATGTTTATCAACAACATCAATAATAATAATAATAAAAAGAACCAACAAATAAAATATTTTTATATCAATGTTTATTAAATAATTTAAATCACTTGAGAAACATTTAATATTATTTTAAAATAATAATCAAGTTTTATTTTTTGCATTACTAGTGTATTTTATTTATAATAACATTTAATTAAGAGTTTTCTTAACTTTAATTTTTAGGATTAAGTTTAAAAATTTATAAATAATTTGTTTTAAAAAAAATACATATTTATTACATTAAAATTATAAATATATAATAAATAATTAACTTTTCAATGAGATTTTATTATTATTATTATTAGTTATATATCATTAGTCTAGGGTTGGTTTACATTTTTCTTTAATTAAAGTTCATAGGCCAAGTATTTCATCGTTAAAGTGAGAACTATAGAGTTATATACAAGTACTCTTTTAAATACTTTTTAAGTCTTGAGCATACCCTAACACTAATAAGCCACTCATCTAAATTTTTCAATATAAAAAATTAAAAACCATCTTAAATATAATTTTTAAAATAATAATTATAAATATCAATAAGTTATAATTATGTAACAATTTATCATTAATTAATAACAAAAATGAGTGTATTCCAATAAAAGTTATAAAATTGTATATATTATATAATGGGAGGAAATGAATGAGGATGTCTATTGTCAAGAAAAGAAGAACATGTGGTTTGACTGTTATCCCTGGGTCAATAAATGCCCATCTAATATCGCTAAAATAAACAAATAAAACATTTTAGTCCAAAGAAAAATTCAACAACTATTTATTAATTTATTATATAATTGTATTTTAGGGTCCAAAACTAACCTCTTTCTATTCAAATTAATACGCATTTTCTTTTCCTCTCGCACAAGCTTCACCACGTTCACCATGAACCCGCCGGAATTTTCCTCCGGAGCCGGCGGATCCTCATCGCCGTCGTCGAAGAAAGAGCTCCAACTTCAAGGGGCGCGCCCGCCGCCACTACGAGTCAGCAAAGAATCCCACAGGATTCGCAAGCCGCCGCTTCCCCCCGCCGCACACCTACCGGCGCCGGAGAACCGGAAGCCGGTGATTATCTACTCCGTTTCTCCCAAAGTTCTTCACGTCACCGTCAGCGATTTCATGAACGTGGTCCAGCGCCTCACCGGGCCTTCCGCCGGCGATGAAGCTGCTCTTCGACCCGGCGACGTCTCGCCGGCGGCGAGACTCGCGTCAATCGAGAGGACGAGTCCGTCGGAGAGGGAGAGAGTTCACGGAGGAGAGGATGACACGACGTGGATGTTAGAAGGAGTGGAGGTAGGTCAGTTCCCGGGAATATTATCACCGGCGACGTTGCCGCCAATATCGCCGGGTTTTTTTTCGGAGCCGCAAAATACTTCGCTGTGGCATGAACTGAGCCCGTTTTGGTCATCGAACAGCTTCGTGGCGAGTCCGTCGGGGTTGCTTTCCGCCGCCGTAGTTTCTCCGTTGCCGTCGCCGGACCTCTTCAATCTCTTCGACTAATTTTTCATTTTCATTTTTTTTGGCTGAAAAGTTTTAGGGTTTTTTTATTTGATGATTGATTTGGGAAGGGTAAGGGCGGTGGTGGAAGATTCAACGTTCACTGACTTTTGTGCCATAAGTTTTGTAAGTGTGTATACTGTTATTGTTGTATTGCGAAAAAAACAATGGGGACTCTTCAAGCTTTGCTCCCCTGTTCTCCACTGTTCAAAATTATATTTATTTGCTGATTTTCTTTATTACAAACTCTTGAGTTTCCTTCACAATATGTTCTGGTGAATGCGGATTGGGTTCTTTTTTTCTCTTTACACTTTATATTTTATTAATTTAAATTCAGTTCCTAAAATGGTGTGTTTCAAATTTTTCAATAATGGAGGATATTTTTCCCTTTTTGGGGACCAGAATGAATTGATGTTAGAAAGATTATTATTTTCTAAATACTATATTGTACATTTTTATATAAGAAATTGATGAAATAAGTACAGGACTAACCGTAAAATATTTGCCATTCACTTCGTATTCAACGGTTATAAGAAAGCCCAAAACAAAAATAGGTTTTGGGATATCTTTAATTAGATAAGTATTCTTAAGATTAAGCATGATTGGAAATATGTTTCTTTTTTATTTTTCATCATTAAATTTAAAAGACTTATGATTATTTTTTTTTTGGCAATTCGTAGTTCCAACTAATTAAAAAAAATTATACATGCTAAAGTTTAAATTCAAAATCTTTTATTAAATAAATTGAACTGTAGATACAATGAAATCTTATATCATAAAAACCTATTTTCATTTCTTTTTCTATAAGTAATTACAAAAACTGTCATTTATTTTCACTTTGTTATTTTTTTAATAGTTATACATGATAAATAACAAAATCATGTTTTGACTTTGTTTTTACATATCTTTAAAGACAATAAATAAATTTTAAAACAAATTAGTATTTTTGTAAGTGGAAACATAAAATGAAGAATAAATCTATTTTTTCTGATGTGTGTGTGTGCACTCGAATTTTAAAAAAGTTAAACACACATGAGGATATATTGTGTACTCGTCAAACGTGGCCTCACCCCCTGCACTGGGATGTTAAAAAGGGGATGAATTCTGAATTTTTTAATAATATATTTTGCGCTGTAAAATAGATAGTTCATTGTGTGCATAAATACATTTCATTTGGTCTTGTAGATTGGGTAATCACGTTAGCACAATGTAAGACTATCACTCGAGTCACGCTAGTGGTTAGGAAAACCATCCACAGAATCATGACTCTTGTCATTATTATTATCATCAACAAAAGAAATTCTAAATCCCAACGGTGCTAGTAATGTCCTTGGTCCCAATTCATTTCTGTAACCAGATATTTTGTTGGGTATGAGTACAATGAATTATTAAGACACCCACGAACGGTATTACTGTACTGCTACATATTAATACACCAACGCTGAAAAAGGAAAATTTTACATGGTCGGTTATTCAGAAGAATTTCAACCTTTTGATTTTTACGTAGGTCTCAACTACAGTCAAACATCCCATAGAAAGCTTGTGAAATGTGTAAAAGGATAAGAGAACAAATAAATAATGTGATGGGTAATATGTTGAAGGTGAAAATGACGAGCACAAGCCTTCACGGCCGTTGTTTAAGTGTGGGCTATTGAGGCGGGCAGTTCTAAGCTACTCCTAAAACTACGAAGTACGGTATAGGAAAGTGTCCAGTTAACTTGATTACTTGAACACGATCCTATACCGTTGCGAAAATAACTCTAACATGATTCCCTGATCCAAGAAAAATGAAAAAAAAAAAAATGAAAAAAAAAAGATGCTATGTTTTCATGTGCTCAAGGTATGTCATCATGACATCACCTTAGAGGAATGAAAATGTCAAACATGCATATGCTGAATTTCGTTCCTTCACTTCTCTTTCTTCAATTTTATTTTCTAAACAGAGCCTTTCAGCTTGGGAGAATTATATTTATAGCCTAATAGTTCAGTGTACTAGCTGAAAATGGAAACGGGGTGATAAACATCACCCGAATTCCCATTCCTGTGAAGTACATTTCAGAAAGTAGGATTGTCGGTGGCAGCCAAAGTGTACCCTTTTTTTTTGGACGAAAGATATAAGGTACTTCATGAATATTATACAAAATATGGATTAAAAAAGAAGACAGCAATCGTGTGCTAACAGAGCAAAGTTCAGAAGTCAAAATGTCATTTGTTTAAACCACAAGATGGCAAAGTAAAATTAGGCCAAACCTTGGGAGGGAAATATCGAACAGTAATTTACCTTGTTATATTTTACAGATTCATGACTCAACAGAACCCTTAAAAGTCCATCAAAAAACACCAATTGCAAAGTAATGCACCTCACATTTTTGGCATCCTCAACTGGAAGATTGTGAAGGAAAAACCCAACAAAGAATTGATTGGTAATTCGACTGCAAATATTTTCACGTTCTTGATATAGTAGAATTCCATGTTCCCCCAATCAGAGTGCCAACTCTTTCGCCTTTAATGGCTTTCTCAATGTTACCTGGTTTGTTTAGATTAAAGACAACAACTGCACCAGAAGGGAAGGACAGGAACATCAAGGTAACCACTTCACCTTTGATACGGCTATGGACACAGTTACTCTAATATAAATATGAACTAATACCAATAGAACAATATAAAAAGAATAGTCCATATAAATGTTTGTCTGCATGGCTTACCTGGGATATTATTTTCCTGGCATAAAGTTATGGCAGTCATGTCCATCACTGACAGATCTTTTGAAGTTACCTCCTGATAGGTTACGTTTTCAAGAAGACGTGCTTGTGGATTAAGCTTTGGATCATCATCATAAACTCCATCGACATTTGTTGCTTTGAGTACAACCTCTGCATTAACTGAATAAATGAAGGAATAACGTTAAGGAGACATTGGTAAAATTCACCTTGTACCCTTAAGTGTAAAAAGATTTAGCACATGTAGAAATTGATTCTGAAAATCTACATCCTTTGTCAAGAAGAGTGAAAACAATATACTCTAAACCATCAAATATAAACAGATAGAAATGCTTGTTTTAGATCACAGAAATAAAAGAGTAACTTACTTTCAGCACATCGGAGTGCTGCTGCAGTGTCTGTGGTAAAGAATGGATTTCCAGTTCCGGCAGCAAATATGACAACTCTTCCTTTTTCTAGATGCCTCACAGCCCGTCTACGGATATATGGTTCTGCAACCTCAGACATGCGAAATGCGGTCTGCACCCGAGTAGGAATTCCAATACTCTCCATTGTTGCTTGAAGAAATATAGCATTCATAACAGTGGCCAACATCCTAGAGGATAAATAAACAAAATTATTGAAAAACTGGATATTATTTCTCTCATACTATGCATTTTTAGCAACTCAGTATAGTGGATAATAATTAATTGGAAACGAAAGTGAACCACTAGCACATAAGAGCAGTGACTTAATATGCTAGATAAAATTAATTGAAAGAAGATCAGAGGAAGGTGCATAAGAGAGATTAGTGTCATTACCCAATATAATCAGCAGATGAGCGGTCTAGTCCACTACTTCCAGCCCAGGAAGATCCACGGAAAATGTTACCCCCACCAACAACAAGTGCAACCTGAAACATCAACCTAATTGTTAAAAACCAAGTCTCAGAACCAGTAAAGAGCTCTGAATAACTTCAAGTCAAATGCTCCAACTTGAAGTGATATCATAAACTCACCCAGTACTACTGCCAAATACAAATTAGATCGATCCAGCCCTACTGCTAAAGATTATTTTTGTGAAACACATCAATAACAATAATGTGAAACAATAAGTTTTGCACATTCAATTAGCCAAATGATCTCACATGATGTGAAGATGCAACAGAAAACTACAGCAAAAGAAACAGAAAAGTATTATTATAAAAAGCATCCAGTGTATTCACCTCAATGCCAAGGCGAGTCACAGATGCCACCTCCCTTGCAATGGCCATGGTTATCTGTACCCAAATAAAAAATAAAAAAAATCAGAAACAATGCTGAGAACAACGTGATACAGCAAAATGTTTCATTTTTTAAGGTAATGTTTCAAGAAGTGTCTGTTGCCACCCTTCTCTAATTAACATATTTCTCATTTCCCTAAAATGTCCCTTTTAAGTAATTAAGCCATACTAAAGGTCTATTATGCCTGTATATCTATCTAAACTTCTAATTAACAATTATAAAATTAATTTAAATATAAATATAACTTCCAAATTGTAATACACAGAACAAGAGTTTGAAACTCGAGAAAAAGTATATATTTGAACTAGTCTTATTCACTAGACAATTTTATTCAAAATTATATTTATTATAATTGTTTGTTGACTTCAAGCAAGTTATTCAAATAATAAAAAAGAAATTTTTTATTTAAAATTCGGTTTTTCTAACACGTGCAAAAAATACACAATAAGAACTTATTCATAACGAATAAGCCTTATTGGAAATCAAATCATCCAATATATTGATAACATTAAATACTATAATTAAATTATTATTTGTTGATTTTTAATTGTTTACGCTTTGGCACAAGCTAAAAAAATACATTAAAAATTAATTAGTATAAGTTTTGTTAATCTCAGTCTTTATATAATAAACATATTTATTATATAAAGAGCCGAAGTTAACATTAATAATAAATTACTAATTTGACTCATGTACTAAATAAGAAAAATTCAATAGACAAACAGAGTGGCAAAGTACATTATCATGCTTTCAATACAAAAGAGTGTAAAGATAAGACCTTTGGGTCAATATTCTGAGAGTGGTCTCCTGCAAGTGCTTCTCCGCTGACTTTGAGCAAAACCCTTTGCCACTTGTACGATGGTTTGCTTGATTCATTCATCGAAAGACCCAACCGAGACATGGACCGAATTTCAGGATTCCTGCCAACAAATTTCATCTAAGTTCCCCACAGAAACATTTCTACAAACAGCTTCTTGGTGACCCAAAAAAGAGGAATAAGAGTTAGAGGAGAACCTGAAATTGATGGGCTCAGGGGAAGAACCCGTTTCGGAATAAGAAGAGCGAATAACAAGATTAGAAAATGAGGTTGAATTGCCACGTGTCAAAGTCAAAGAAGGCGAGAGGAGCTTTGGAAGATACAGAGGTGAAGATGAATGGATAGAAGAAGAAGAGAAAGAGAAGAGAGGGGTTGAGATTGCCATTAGCGTTTTCGCTCTATGTTGTCGTTCAACACTTTCTCTGAGGTTGCTGAGGTTGTTCTGTGCTTCGTTAATTTGTGTTGGAGTTGCCGCTAAAGATAATTTTTATTTTATTTTTCCTTTTTGGGACATAAAAAACAGTGAAATGCCTAGCGCACAATAAATCCGTATTATATTGAAATATCTCAGTGGACTAATGAAAAAGAAAAAGAAATTTCCTAAATGAGACTGTCCAAAACTAAGACAATAACAGCTACATTTGATAGTAACTGTTGATTATGTTTATAAAATATTTGAATTTAAATCATTAATAAATAAGTTGACTAAACCGTCGTATCCCAGTATTGACTAAAGGGTTTACCTAGTGTAATCGAAATAAAAAAAACACAAAACTACGTTTCATATCTCCATTAAAAGAAATTATTACATTTGTTGCTCAATCTATTTCAATTAGCTCTCTAATTGATTAAAAAGAAAAGTTGAAAAGCGCACCAGTGAATTTCACTGTTAGTAGCATTGTGTAAAAATTACCCTACCATTATTATGGCCTCCCTAACATAAATAAAATTAAAAAAACGAAATGGATGCGTAAAAAGAATATCTACAAATCTGATTATGAATAGAATGCCAGCAAATAAATGAAAACAAAGCTAAATTTTTTTTAAAAAAATGGAACAAGCCGAGGTGAAACGAATTACCTCTCACAAAAATCTAATAAAAAGAATATGCTTAATGGATTTTGATAATAGTAAGCATTTTTTGAAATAAAAGAAAAATAATTCAAAAATGGAATGTGATCCTCTAGAACAAAATTTCTTTTCCACAGGACTTGAATTTTATTTAAAAAAATAAAAATTAGAAGTAACTATTTATCTCGAGAAAATGTATATTCATTTGCATATTAAAAAATATGAAATACTAAAGCTAGTTGACACCTTATTTTCTATTCTATAATATTGTATCTTATAAAATATTTTTTAAGGATTCAAGATTTTAACTGTTAAATTTTAAGATTAACAATAATTTTAATTGCCTTTAAATTTTATTTTAACAGTTACGAAACCGATTTAAAATTGGCGACACAAAGTTAAATTTGTAGCAGTTTTGAATTACTGCTAAATCTTTAAATTTGCAACTATTTTTTTAGTAATAGTTTAAAATTGTGACTAAAATTTAAAATTTAATGGCAAGTAATAGTGCTCTGTTTTAAAGTTTGGTTCCACCCTTTTCTCTAATTTTTATCATTTACTTATTTTTTTTTTTTATTTTTTGGGTTCATATTTCATTTATTTTTTAACATCACAACATATATGTTATATAATTTATAGTATAAATTCGTTGAAGAAGAGTCATTTTTAAAAAAAATAAAAAGGACAATAGAAGATTACCAAGTTGTCATAGTTGGAGAAGATACTTTGACAATAGTGGCGGTAGTATTGATGGCAAAGAGAAAGGTGGTGGTGGAACTCAATGAGGCTAAGATGGAGGTGAATGAGTAGCTTTGAATGGGTGATGGAGAATGAGTGAGAGTGGAATGGTGTTTCTTATATTTTGTTATTGCAAACTGACGCTAAATCTCGCATTTTTTTGCGGCGATTATGCAAAATCATTACTAAATCCCATACTTTTTGTAGCGGTTACACAAAACTATCGCTAAATTCTGTATTTTTTGTGACAGTTACAAAAAATTGCTACTAAATCTCGTACTTTTTGCGACAGTTGCAAAAAATAACCGTTAAATCACGTAATTTTTATGACAGTAAACTGCCACTAAATCTTGTATTTTTTGACGTTAAATGTTATTTTCTACATATTTTATTAACAATTATTGCTAATCGCCGCTAATAAGCTAAATGATACAATTTTTTGTAACGTGTGAATCATAAAATTTTGACATCTAACTTCATATGAGTGGTAAAGATCATGCGGTCCTAAACCACCTAATAATATTCCAGATCAGTTAATCATTTTTCATCCTATAATAATTATTTAGCTGGTGGCTGCAATTAAGCTAGCGGCAAGCCATTACCGGTAAAGGGAACATCATAAATTAATAGAAGCACTTACATGCACAAAATTTCATTTACACCTTTAACTGATGACAATATTTGAGGGGGGTAATTAGGATTCATGTGTGGCCTGTGACCCTGACGCCACCACCAGAACCACATTAAATTTGAGGCATAGCAAAAGTGTAAAAGTGCAAATTCTTGGAACATGTCAGGAGGCTTGACATCCAACATGGATTTAGCAATGATCCTATAAAAGGAAATGGCAAGAGGATATCACAAGCTTCAAAATCTGGCTTCCCAAAATTTTTAGCCAGTTATTTTGAATTCTAAGGCCTCAAAACACCCTTGTAAATTTCCACCTTTAACAAGCAAAGCCTTAAAATAACCGGCAAAAGCTCTCATAAATGGATAGCATGTAGGCTAAAATGAATGACCCTTAAATAAGAGAAGGTTACAAGGTTATTCAGCACCAACATGACCATGGCATTGTCCTAAAGCCTAATGGGCAATCCAAAGTTGTGGAATGTCTTGATAGTTCCATCACAACCAGCTGCCACAATTGGTAGTCCCCATGTTTCTAAAACACTTCTGTCATGGCAAGTATCTTGGTGATATAACTGTTGGTGATCATACTCATCATCTTCTGCTAAAGGTAAATCCCAGCTTGGTAGTTTCTCCTCAGGCCATGTCATAGAACCTCGACATGTAGCATCAATGGAGAACCAATTACTGAGAGAAAAACGTTCTGAATCTCTAACATCTAGTTGCGTTTGCATGTCTGAAGACCGGTGGGAAAAGTTACTGCTAGAGCCCCTTTGATCTGCTTTCATGCCTGACCAAGGTATTGCAACAGTAACACCCTTGGATGAAAAGTACTCACAGGCTCGTTTGGATTTTCTCTGTTTAGAAGAAGCATTTTCCAACTCATTGAAGTTCCAAATATACACATGGGAGTCCTCTCCAACTGAAATTATATGTTTTTCGTTTGGTGTAAATGAACCAGACATTTGACTTCCTGACTTAGGAAGACCTGTTACAAGTAGTAAGACTAACAAACTTAGTATTTTTTATGCAAACTGAGGATAAGCATATGTATAGTGTTAAACAAATACTATCTTAAATTGATGAAAATGCCACTGGTATAGATGTCACAAATTAGTGAGAGTAAAGTCATAGATCTGACAAGGAAAACATACAATCCACCCACAATGACTAAACATAACTCTGAAGCTTGCTGGTAAAACAAAACTATATTACAGTCAGAAAATTGGAGAACATGCATATGTAAAAGGGATTAAGTACATTATTCTGATGGAAGAGGAGGTTGTGGAATAGGTGCAGTTGGGAATAGCCTAAAAAATTTGAATATCATGAGACCTGTTGCTGCATATTACAACGCACATAATACAACTGGCACTGTGATTATCTGAAGTAGTTCCACTCTTATATGTAACAATCTAGTACCCTAACTCAATCCCTAAGATAGAAATGGGAAACAAAGCTTAATCTACAAGCACATCAAAGTTGAGGAACTAAAAATCTTTCAGAAGTCCTAGGAAAGCTTAATAAAAGTAAAAAATAACTGAATAAAACTTGAGTCTGAACTTTATGTAATAAAAAAAAACGCTAAAATCATACCAAGTGACAGAAGGAGGCTCAGTTTGTGGATTTTATTTTTAAAAAATTAATATATTAACTAATTGACCAATGATGTTTAAAGCTATTTGAAGTGTCAGGTATAAAAAATAAAATGAAACAGACATTAACAGAATTACAGAGGCCGACCTTTAAAATAAAAAAATAAATCAATGAAACCTTGGGATCTAGCAAAGAATCATTATGCACTTCACAAAAAATTTTACACCTAGGTAGTTATCAGAAGTTGTTTAATTATTTAGAAAAGTATGACAAAGCCTGTTATCATTCCAAGGTAACAAACAACAAAAAATATGCTCATATAAAATCTTTTATTCCTGATAATCATATGATTTCAATTAAGATAACAATTCAGAAGTTTAAGGATGATCAGCATCCTAACAAAAGATAAAGTTCATAAGAAAATGCAAACCCAATTTTGATAAGGTGCTTTTGAACTTTCCAAGCTATCCTATCATTCTCCCTCTAATGGTTCAACACTAGATGCTGTACCTCTGTATTTCTGAACAAGCTCAATGCCATCAAATATATGAATTTTGGAATCTTCTGAGGTGATCATAATTCTCTGAGAGTTTTTTTGCGAGAACTGCGAAGGAACAAGAGCGTTATAATGTTAATAGATGAAGTACAAAGTATAGCGATTTAGTAGTTAAGGATTAATAGATTGAAACCTGAATGCCAGTAATCTTGTTGCCCAATGCTTTCTTCTTTTCATGGACATTTATCTGCGCCTCAAGCTGGAAATATTTTCCTAAATCATTAGAAATCCAATTTAGATAGTCCTTTCTATTTATGTCCATCTATTTTATCTTTTGGAAGAGAGGTTCAAGACTACAATAATTGGTATTTAGTAACTCAAAGGTTCATACCTGAAGCAACATAAAACCGACAAGTGCCTGTAACAGAACCAACTACAAATCCCTGCACATGTAAGTAGTCCAAGATTCATCAATCTCATAGACACTAGTTTCCACTGTAAAGACCCACTAAATCATGAAAAGATTCAATCAAGAATTCATGACATACTTGCCCATCTTGCTGGTAACTTATAGCACTTATGACATCTCGTATATCTGCCCAGTCAATAACTCGCTCTTCTTGTATCCCCCATATTCGAACCTTACCATCAATGGACCCACTAATGAAGTAGTTTTCATCGACAGGATTGAATTGAATGCATGTCACTGCTTCCATTAAAAATACAGGCACAATTAAAATTATATTTATGGGATAAATCCATAGCTAAGCTTCAAATTATGATATGATTATGAATATGAACAAAGCGTGTGGCTTAAATTTTATTGACTGATTAAATTATGGCTGTGGAAAATACAGGTCAAAAGGCGTGGTTCTCTCATACATACCATAATCATTGTGATGGAAAACTTTTAGACATTGATCACAACCAATTTGCCACAAGCGAACAGTCTTATCCATAGAAGATGAAAGGAGAATCTGCAACAGGTATTTTTAATCAGCTACAAGGAAAATTAAAATTGCAAGCAGAACCGACAAAGCATATTGCATGATTTTGGGAAGGGGGAGATAACAAGCTTCTGCAAATTAAACTCACATCTGAATTAGACCAAGCCAGATCCAAGACATCACTGGAATGGCCAAAGAATTCTTGCAGTGGTGATTCCTCAATTTGAAAAATACTATTTGGAAGGAAAATGATGGGTTGGCTTGAGTGTTTTTTCCAACGAGAAGAGTTTTCATGTTTCACTTTGCTACAAGTGGTACTGTCTTCTGTGGTGAAACAAATATTGGATGTATCTAATGATACAACACGCCATATGCGCACAACACCATCTTCACCTCCACTTGCTAAATACTGACCATTGGGACTAAATTTCATGGTCCAGATTAAGCCTTTATGAGCTCTAACCTCTTGTCCAATGTGTAGCCCACTGAACTCCAGCCACCTCTTTTTATTCTGCCTTACCTTTATTCTACGAGTTTTATTCGTCCCTGTATCCAATTTTGATCTGACTTTTCCATCACCACCTTTCTTGAGGTTAGTAAAGCGCTTCCACCAGTTTTTCCTTCTCTTTTTACTCATTAAATCCTGAAACTCTTCTTGGGCCTCAGCTTCTGTGTGTCTGTGCTCCTGGGCTGTAGAAGAGAGCTCATGCACTTTCCCTTGAAAACTTTCATGTGATTCATCTTGAGGACACCCTTTTTGTTCATCCAACAAGACTTTTGCTTCAGAAGCTGTTTTGCATCCAGAGAGAACCAACTTCTCAGATACTTGATCAGCAGAAAAACTGCAAGCATTTGAGATTGCTCCACTGCATTCCGTGATCCTATCCAATCCTAAGTTGATGGATGAGTCATCGAAGCTTATTTTTCGCTCTTGTGAACAAACCTTGGAAGAAGCATCAGCTAAACCCATACCATGCAGAAAACGTTCCCTCCTTTCCTTCACACTAATAGGCTCTTTCACCCAAATTTCATCATAATCATAATCACACCTTTCAGAACCAATGGCTAAAACGGAATCTTGAGTTGGCAAACTATCCACTGAATCAAAGAATATATCAATATCTCCATCCCCAGAGCTCAGCATATCTCCCACTTAGGTATGAAACAAACCACCTTCCACATGAAAATCTTACCTCTAAGTTCTTACTCTTTTCCCAACTATCAATACACTACTTTTATAAATTGGAACTTCCCAATTCGAGGGACCGAGTTTCTCTCACCAATTATGCAAAACCCAGTAGAATATTAGATCTCACAAGTTACAGTCAGGGACTAAGTACAAGGAACCAATTAATCACCAGTGACAACAGTTAACTTGGATGTTCAAAACCTCCCAACACAGAAAGAATACTAATCAACAATTCCACAAACCCCAATACACCATAGATTATAGAATAATCATCAAATACAAAGCAGAAACAAAGTCCAAGCTTTGAGTTCAAAGTGGAGACTATACCAATATTATATGTTATTGTCAAGTCAAACAAAGCCAATACTCAACATGATCACCAACCGTCCATTATCATCATGGCCTTATCCACACCAAAACCCAAATCAAAAGCTCTTCAAACCAGCTTCTGTCGTGAACAACCAAAAATGCCTCGAGATCAGGATTTTGGGATTTGAAGATTGGCAAAGCACACGAGCGGTGCTACTGCTCTGCCTCTCTCTTCTCTTAACTTATCATGCTTCGTAATCCTCGCCCATGATCTGTGACATTAGTGCAGCATTAAAGTCAGACACTGAAAAAGCAAGAATTTTTAAAAACCATTTCCATTTCCAGAGAACAACTTTTAAACGTACGTAATGGGCAGGAACTAGCAAAAGCTCTCAACTTTAAGCTAGTTTCTGCTGTTCTCTGTGACTATAAAAGCTACAAATTAAAAGTTGCATTGATTGGTAGTAATTGGTTACTTACAATTAACGTTGTTGTTTTAAGAAGCTGTTACAGAACTAGTAGACACAACTAAAGAAGATGAAAGTGATAACTCACAAGTCTAGGCCTATTATAGGTACCCACTTTGTTGGTTGCAGCTACACACATACCCGCTATTCCTCTGCATTGCAGTTTGCACTTCAATTTCTTGGGTTGTGTAGTGTGGTATATTCTTGTATTGAGGCTGCTATAGCTCAAGCTCTATCTCTAGCTTTAGCATTAGGTTAGGTTGTAGCTCTGATAGTGTCTCTCTCCTATGCATATTTGGGTATGTTGTGTTTTTTTGCTATTGTTATGTAAATGGAGAAAGAAAGAGAAAGAAAAGGGGGTGTTGAGAAGAGAAGGGTTATGTTATGCCTAATATGCTTATACCATACCTTGTCGTTAGGTTGATACATAAATGACAAGGAAAGCTTGCCACTTTCTATCACCAACAGCTATCAGTTCTTGGAAAGTCAATCCCTTCTGAAAAAGGCAGTTTCAGAAAAGAAAAGAAAAAAGAAATTTTTTTAAAGGGGGTTGTCCTTTTTGGTGGGTTGAAGAAACTGACATGATTCAATTGAAAGGAGAGAGTGATCATCCATTTGAAGCGGTGGAAGAGAAGAGGGTGGCGGGGACCGGGGTGGTGTACGGAAGAAGAGAGAGAGAGAGAGAAGCATGACATGTGTTTGTGGGAAGAAAGATGATAAGATAGATCATAGTCTACATCATTATTAGCGTTTAGCATCCATCGAAGCTTCCAAAACCTTCTCACTGTCACGCTCCCTCTTCTAATCCTTTATTCATTCATTCATTCATTCATTCATTTCACGTCAATTATCTGTGCCAAATTGGAGAGCGTTCCTTCGTTACCTGCTTCCATGAGTGGTGGTACCCTCTCCCAGTTTACTGTGACTTCCACTCAATTCCACACTGCAAGCAAAAACTAAATCTACCTCTGTTGTTCAAACTTCAAAGAGTAAATCTTTGTTATCAATTTTATTTTTTTTTAGCTCTCTGTCCTTGTTAGGATTTATTTTATTTCCTATAATAAAATATGATAAGATTATATTTCTTTAATAAGGATTTGATTTTAACCCAGATATTATAAAAATTTATAAAGTCAAAGTTTTTTTTTTATTTCTTCTATTTACTTGAATAAATATTTATCACGCAAATTAAATAAGACATATTTTTCTCTATAATTTTTTTTTATTTACGCTCGTAATAGTTCTTCCCCTTTTTTTTCTTCATTCCGATCAATACATGATAGATACATCAACATTTTTTTCTATCACAAACTCAATGCTCGTGGATTTTAAACTTAAAAGGTACAAAAACAATGTGTAAAAGATAACATACATCTATTTTCTTCTTATTCTTTTGTATGAAAACATAAGTCTAATTATTTGATTCTATACATAATTTATAAATTCATTTGATTCCTTAATCATAAAAAAAAATAACATTGATTTGGTTTCATAAGAAAAACAAATTGATTTAATTTTTAATCAAAAGAACTAGCAATTTAAGAGAGTGATATTGCCAATTTACTGTATGTATTGTTTTTTTTTTATTTAAATAAATTTTAAATTTTATATAAATAATTAATTTCATTGAAAGGAACGGTATTTTAGAAAAAAAATATTTAAATAAGAGTAATACTAAATACCTGAGATTGATAGTGAATACTTTCTTAATTTTAATTCATTAATCATATATAATTAATACTTCAATAAATATTTTATCAATTTAATTCATTAATAATATGTAATTAATACTTATATAACCTTAGTGTTGAAGATCGTTAATACCATCAAATTAATCTTAATATTAATTTATAAATGCTAGAGCATTTTTTTATAAGTAAAAGATTAAATTACTACAAACAATTATTGAAATTTTGATGTCATTCTTGGCGATACATTTTTAGGAATTTATAAACATGTTCAAATAAATAAATAAATAAATAAATATATATATATATATATATATATTTCATTTTAAAATTATTTTTAATTGTTCAGACCGATAAGTTGAACTGACCAGTTGATCACCACATAATCAATGAAGAACTCAGAACTGGCTATGTAAAATAAAGGCCGTTTATTGGTTTTATCAGTTTAATCTTTTTAAAAATGTTTTAAAAATTGTGTAAATTCCAAACCCAAGATCATTTGTACGATGGATTCTTCATATCACTATTTTATGACACTTTTTTTTCATTTAATGTTTTTTTCTAATTTTTTTAACTCAAGTATTTTAAATATAATTTACGTAATAAATTTTTTTATTTAACGGTTAATTTTAAGATAAATTTATCTAATAAAATTTTATTAAATGATATAATCATTAATATAACGTAAATGGGTATGAGTTAATTCATCCTCTATTTTATTCAATATATTATTTTTAAAACAAAAACTAATATTACACATACATTTTCTACAACTTTACGATCACAACTTAATATTAATAATTTAGGCTCTGTTAGTTTTAAATTTGAAAATTTTTAAAAATCATATATTAATTATTTTACTTAATATTTATCATGTATTTTTATTAATTAAATATATGATATCACACTTAAATTAAACTCAAATTATGTGTGACCCAAAGATATATATAGACCAATGATATCGCGTCACAACAAAGTCAAATGATCGGTGATAGACGAAAGTACAAATTCGTACGTGCTGTTAAATTGAAATTCTTAATTTACTTCGAATCGGTTATATATATTTTTGTTTTAACTCCTCAGACTTGTACCAATTTTCATGCGATTAATTTCGTACGTATTTAATTTTACATAAGATTAATTAGATTTATATTTTTTTTAACACTATCAATTATAATTTTTATATTAAATTTACGCTTTTAGATATTTCATATTTTTATAAAGAATGCGAATTTTAAGAATAAAGACGAGAAACTTTATTTGGTCTGTGAGAGGGCAAATGTTAAGGGTACATCCGTACATGTAAAAAAATATACAACTTCTATTGAAAAACATTTATTGCATCAAACATAGTATAAAGATTATTTAATGTTTTAATTAATTAAAAATATTAATAGAAAGTATTTAATGTTTATTACATAAATACATTAATTAAAACAATTGTTTTCGAGAGCCATGTGAAAATGAGTCTGAAGGCGGGCCGAGGAAACACAGCCGCCGGTTCCAAGTAACCGTTTAGTATAACTCCTAACTTAAAAGTCTATTATAGATAGTAATTAAAGTTAATATATATATATATATATATATATAAAATTTATATCATTATAAGTATAAAAAATTTTACATTTAATTTAAATTTAATAATAAATAAAATAATAAATTATAATTCATTAGATTTAAATTAAATAAAAAATTTAAATTAAATATAAAATTTTTTAGAATTATGTCAGTATAAAAAAATTTTACTTCTGTATATATAAATTTAAAATTAAATTTATAATTTATATAATCTGCTTTGACGCTTGCATATAAAACCAAAATATATGTAACATTTACAGTTAGAGAACAAAAATCAAAGTACTTTCATGTTACAGATTTGACGCTACAATAAGAGTTTTTTGAATTTGAGTACGATGAAAATAACCCTTTTATTGTCGTAGCTCGTTATCAGTTTATACTTTATAGCATCAACCAATCAAGTTTATCGCATCGATTATCGAGAAAAGAATAACAAATGGTTTAAACAATTCTACATGTCGCACCAGTGGGTCGTCCATTTCAATATTAGTCAATTATTAGGTGTGTGGTATTGCCAATTGTGACATTTGATTTTCCCTACTCTCTTCGGTCGCTCTCACTTTGTTATGAGAAATCATTTTTCCATCATCCAACCAAATATTTTTATTTATTTATTTATTTTTGGTCTATCTATATATATTTCAAAAAATAAGTTAAGCTAAAATAATTTAATAAAAATAATTATATACAATATTATATACCATGTGAATTTTTTATCACTTAAGTAACAAAATTTTATTATAATGCTTCATATATATCCTAAACAAAATAAGAGGGAAACATGATGACGTGCGATCCTAGTTGCGAAATAACAGTGTTAGGCACTTGCAGAGATCTCCTTGCTGTCCTTGCTTTTATCCCAAAAAAAAGAACACAAACAAACAACGCATCAATGAGATGGAAGGAGACAGATTGCAAACAGGTACATGGAAAAGTAACAGGGTACGAGAAATGGATTGAAATAACGTTTTCTAAAAAACAGAGCGAATTGAATGAAGATATACACTTTGTATTCATTCATTTAATCAAGTACATAGAAGTAGCACAGTTAGCAGTGGACACCAACCTCAAACAATAACAAAGGGTCGATGAAACAAAAATTAAGAGGACCCCCACTCCTTCCAAGTGCCCGACTCTTTCCTCTTTCCTCTTACATTTGTAGTAACTCGACCATGTCAATTTTGTGAGAGGGAAAGACATATAAGTAGAGCTAGTAGAATGCATACAAATAATGGTTACTCTTATTAGGATTTGTATT